CACAGCACAGGAGGGAGGGGAGTAAGAGATCAACCGAAGGACTTGTATGCATCCATATAACCATAACTAATGGACATAAGACACTGGGGGGTAAGGGAGGGCAGGGGCTTGTCAAGGGCGGGGGGGGAAAAGGACACTTATGTAATACCCTTTGTAATACTTTTAGCGAAAAATAAAAAAAACAAAAAACAAAAAACAAAAAACAAATCACACAGCACAGCTGGGACTGGAAACAAATTCTGAGTTTTTGCAAAGCTGGGCTCACTCTATCATTCCATGCTGTAAATATTATTTTCATGTTAATTCAAATTTTTATTTGCCTGATAGCTTTATTTAATTTCCTCTATGCTCAGATCATGTAAGTTTATGCTAACTAGCAGGACAATTTATACACTCAGGATTATTTGATTTACATTTGAGAGTCATTCTCTGATTACCTCAATCCACAATTAGAGATAAACATTTTTTTCAGAGATGTCATTTGTGGAGATGCCATATGGGAATAGTTCTGCTGTGATTTCTTTAGCTATCTAGTCAGAATGTAACTAATCAGAATAAATATTAGGTGGGAAAACCTATGATCGTTATACCGTTCTGTTTTTAGTACCACTTATCTAGTGACTGTTGTATCTGTGGCTTCACTGCTATGTTTGAAATAGTTATAAAAGGAATCAAGACAATATCAGAGAGTATAGAATAATCATTTGGGCCGTTTTGGTGTTACGTCCTTCTTTGTGCTAAACCCCAGAGGCACTATTACAGGCTTGTCTATACGCAGAATGAAGGCAGCTTTCTCAGCATTTGGTATGACAAAAAAAGAGCACTTTCTATTTCATTATTTGCCTTGGCTTCATTTATATGAAATAGGAATGATGAAGTTTTTCTCCTTTCTTTATAAAGTATAACTTTGTTTCTCTTTATAAAATTAATGATGTTCACTGTAGAAAATTCAGGAAATACATATAAGCAAGGAAGAAAGAGAGAGAATGAATGAATAAAAGCAGCTCTAGTCTCAATACAATATTTTAGTGCCTATTTTCTAAGCCACTTCTTTTGGTGTTTTAATTTTTTTTCTAAATTACTCGAGAATATGATCAAATCTATTTTCTAAGCTTCAGTAAAAAAATTTCTCCTGAAGATTTTGAGTTCTGTGTTTATTCGGTTCCTTTACTAATCATCTATCTATATAAAATAAAAGCCTAATATGCAAATTGTCCCCTTGGGCAGTCGTTTGACGGGGAGACAGGGAGTTCGACCACTCGTTATGACGTGCGCTGACCACCAGGGGGCGGCACGGAACATGGTAGGCATTGGTGATGCACTGTGACTTCTCGCCAGCTACCTGGGGGCAGGGGTGACAGGGACGGAGGTGTGGTAAGAATGCAGGGTGTCCACCGAGCTTGCTCTCACTCCCCCTGCTACCCTCCACTGGGATCCCAGGGCTTGCATGCTGGGGAAACCCCTGTGCTCAGGTGCCAGGCATCCGCGAGGAGCCCACCCTCCACCCATGTGGCCCCTTCCAGGTGAGCCGGGCCATCGCTGCAGGGGCTGGTCGGGCTCCCCATGGGTTTGTGCAGGAGCCGGTGAGCGAGGCCAGCCGGGAGAGAGCATACTGCCTGCCCGGCTTCCGGACGGTGCCACTGGGCGGCCAGGGGCCCACGCTGTGCCCTGGCCCACGGCATCCAGCCGTGCTCACCATATCTCTGTGTGGGGACTTGGATGCTGTGACTCAGGCAGAGGGGGGTGTGTGGAGGCCCAGGGACCCAGGTGCTGCCCAGGGCCCAGAGGTCAGCTGGGACCTGCCCTTCATGCCAGATACTTGCGTTTCAATCACCAGCCAGGCCTAGGGACCACACCCGTGCATGAATTTCGTACACCGGCCTCTAGTCTATATATATAAAAGCCTAAGCGACCATCTGACCATTCAACTGTCCAACCAGTAGCTATGACGCCCACTGACCACCAGGGGGCAGACACTCAACACAGGAGCTGCCGAGCTGCAGTGACATGGCAGCTGCTGTTCTTGGGTGATGCACCTGGAACCAGAGAGGAGGGAGCCCAATTCTGGAGTGTGTCACCCGAGAACTGCCCTCTTGCAATCCAGGACTCCTCAGGGGATGTCAGAGAGCCAGTTTTGGCCCTACCCCTGCAGTCCAGGCCGAGGGACCATACTGGTGCATGAATTCGTGCACCAGGATTCTAGTCTACTATAATCTGTTTCAGAGAGCAGAGGAGCTGATGACTTGAAATATTTACATTTTATGAGTCAGCATCTCAATTTATTATGCAAAAGACAGTACATTCTATGTCTGCTCTAGAAGTCTTTGTATTTCACATATTAAAATGTGAGCCTTTACTTTATCTGATTTAATAATTAAAAAAGAATTTAAATTACAGTTGACATTCAGTCTTATATTAGTTTCAGTACAGCATGCTGGTTAGATATTTATGTAACTTACAAAGTGATCCCCTCTATAGGTCTAGTACTCATCTGACGCTATACATAGTTATTACAATATTATTGACTATATTTTCTATGCTGTACTTTACATCCCTATCACTATTTTGTAACTGTCAATTTGTACTTCTTAATCCTATTACCTTTTTCATCCAATCCCGCAATCTAGTTCATCTGATTTATATATGGAAAAGAGACAGTTGTTTGTTATTGAGACTTCTAGGTCACCAGTGTTCCATTGTCACCATTTCTTTTTCACTTCCAAATGTAATTCCAAATTTTCCTTCCTGTCATTCCATAAATTCACAGGCCTATGTTTCTTTCTTTCTTTTTTTTTTTTCTCTTAAGACAACTCATTTTCCTTCAGCTTTAACCAAAGCAAAAGGTTAACCTCAGGAGTATGGAGTAAGGTGATGACTCCTTTCTATGATCGAGAAAAGGAAATGCACTTGAAGATGTGAAATGCACGGGAATGGGGAAGTTTGATTAGATAATATCAAGGATTGGTATTCAGTATGGTTGCTAAGCCTCTTAACTGATTAGTGTGGAACAGTACTCTCAACTCTGGAATCACCTGAAGAGCTTTAAAAAGTACTAATGCTTAGTTCAGTGATGGCGAACCTTTTGAGCTTGGCGTGTCAGCATTTTGAAAAACCCTAACTTAACTCTGGTGCCGTGTCACATATAGAAATTTTTTGATCTTTGAAACCATAGTAAAACAACGATTTATATTTTTGATATTTATTTTATATATTTAAATGCCATTTAACAAAGAAAAACCAACCAAAAAATGAGTTCGCATGTCACCTCTGACACGCGTGTCATAGGTTCGCCATCACTGGCTTAGTTTCTTCTTCTAAAGACTTGAATGTGATTGGTCTGGGATGGCCTGGGCATTGGAATTTTTTAAAGTTCCCTAGTGAATCCAATACAGTCAGGTTTGAGAACCATTATTTTAGAAGATGCTATCAATATTCACCTGTGTGAGCACTTCCTGCCTGAAGAACAATAACAATCAACATACCTCGGGCTCCTCTTCACAGGGCCACCGTATATCGGTATGGAGTTATGCCTTGCACAGAGGTGCCTGGCAGAGGGAATAAATAGGGGCTGAAACACAGCCCACTCTTTGCTCACGAGGCAAGCTGCACTCCGACTCTGGGCTGTATCTCCTGGCACCTTTTCTAACTTGCACGAAGACACTGTACAGCCTCGTCTGACACCGCATCTGTGTTTATGTCCTTTCACCCTACACGGAGACACATGGCCTTTCCATTGGACTATTTGTGACTTTAATTTTCTCACTAATCCCAAACCACTAGGTTCTTCAAAATTAATATTTTCCATTTTTGTCTTGAAACGAGCACATTATATGTGGCAGAAACAACATGGGAAAATCTGCAAATTCCAGTCCATTGACGTTTCTGCAATAAATTAGTCTTTGACCATCTGGAATTAGATTTTTTTTTGGAGACTATGAATTAACAATAAAAGTGAGGAACCTCAAGAATGACCAACTGTATAATGGTGCTGTCAGGGCTAACTAGTCAGCACCCCCATGTTTAAAATACCATGAGGTTTGTAACTTCATAGCCATAGTTAGCATTACACAGGGAGAAACTCTGTTCTATTGTCACAGACTGAACTCTGTTGCCAACCAGTTTATTCTTTAGTGTAAGTTAAAATGTAGTCAGGATACTTCAAACCCATCACCATTACTGGAAAAGCAAGTCTATGACTAGATGGGAGTACATTTAGCAAGTGTCAGCTTCATTATAACTAGAGGGATAATCACCACTAACCAGTAGAAAGTACATCCAGATGTATTTGCATTATGTGATGGGGACCATAGTCAATATGATTTAAAACCTATAATTATGTGATTTTCTCAAGAGTTTCAACATGATGCTAACGTTTTGCTAAAAAACAAAAACAAAACAATCTAACTTATCTGATTTTCGGTCTGTATGTTAAAGGAGTTCAATTTCACCTTCAGTGTGAACACATTAGTTTGAAAAGCCCAGTCCAGCAACATGTGAATTCTCAACCATGTGTTTCTGTGCAAAAGAAATCACTTGATGGGAAACAGGAAATCACTAGTACAGGCTGTTTTGTTAATTACACATGGAGTTATAACTAGAATGGGAAGAGCAGGTTTTTATTTGAAATCAGATTTGAATACTACACTGAGCATAAATAGAGAACTTTCAATTGTCATTGATCTTCTCTGCACTGAAAGGGGGTAAGTATCCCAGGATCAGTCCTACGCCCTCTTAGAATCACTGCTATTTAGAAAAAGCAATTTTTATGTAGTTAATATTAGCACAAATCCTTTGCTGCCTTCCTGCTTCCTAGCAACCTGAAGCAGAGTATATGCTTGCCAATCTGCTTTCGGTAGAAATTAAGAACAGAAGACCCAGTGATTTTGCCAATCGCCCTGGAGAGGTGGGGGACGTATTCAGTAAGCTCCGTGCTGATTTTGTGAGCCCGGCATGTGATTTATGTTGCCAACCGTCTGACCCTGCTGCACTTTCTACCACAGGCCAGGGAAGATGTGATCCACATGCTGAAGACGGAGAAAACCAAGCCTGAGGTTCTGGAGGCTCATTACGGGTCTGCGGAGCCAGAGAAAGTGCTGCGGGTCCTGCACCGAGACGCCATCCTCGCCCAGGAGAAATCCATAGGAGAAGATGTCTATGAGAAACCAATTTCAGAGGTAAAAACATGACACCAGCAATCCCCTCCGAAGGGAGCCTCGGAGTGATAGCTTAACATCTTTGCATTTTACATGCTGTCACAATTTTCTTTCGAAGGCAACGCTTTTATGATACAATAATGTAGAATTAAGCTGAATTAAATAGCTCATGAATGATTGTAGATACATTTCAATAATAAGAATTTTAGAAGCATTTCCTGGAATATACTTAAAGCCTGAAATGTATTTTTCATGTGATTATGATAGTTACATGCTCTTACAGTCTGTTATTCTTTCATTTCTCTAAGAGATTGTGTGTGCAAAATGTGAAGTGCCTATTGGTTTTAGCATTGGGTTGTCAAGGTTATTATCAAATTGATAATGTAAAATTAAATTGATTTTATTATTGATATTTATGGTTTTAAAGCCACTGTGCTTTGGTATCTTATATCTATTCAACTCTGTGATAATTAAAATGATCTTATATGAGTAACTTAAATACAACGGTGAAGGCAAAATCCCAATGAAATGCTTAAGGCAATTCTTTAAGATGAAATGAAATCTATTAGGGCTGTAGTTAATAATTATATATGAGATTTTATTGGGAACTATTGCCATTGTTATTAATTACCCATGATGCTACGTGTTAAAAATACTGTCACATTGTAGTAGAAGTTTGATGCTGAATTAGGGAATCAGTTGATGGATCTAGCCATATTAACTCTTCAGAATTCATGTAAAAAAATTCATATATGTGAAATAAGTATCATAAATGAAAAAGAACACAGAAATTTAGTATGAAGCAATTTATTATAATTTAGCTTTTAACTTAGTCTAGTCTTTGCACAGCTCAGTTTGACAGTTCTCAGACAAGAGCTGCTTTAGACAGTATTCACAACAGATTGATGGTCTTATAATTTTCTATTTTCTGCAACAAGGATAAACTGAAGCTCTGTTCTCATCTTTTCCTAACATGCTAAAAGATGATAGGATGCAGTCAACAGGCTGGCTCCACTTTACTGTTTGAGATCCATGGTTACTAGCTGCCTGTGGCCTTGGTCATGTCACTTCAGTTCTTTAAGCCTCAATTTCCTGCTCTGTCGGGTGGGAGAAACAACAGTGCACATATAATACAATTGTGAGGATTAAATGAAGCAATGCCTGAAAAGCTCTTAACAGCATGTCTGGTACATGCTAGGTACTCAACAGATATAACCGTTGGTATTTGCTTGGATCTGAGCGTGATAATTGCTCACACACTTAATTAGTTCCAAACTTGGAGGGATTTGAGGAGTAAATGACATATAGAGGTCAAAATACCAATTTTATGTTATTGTAATCACCTGGATTGGAGAACTCAGCTTGGATAAATGGTATCATTTGAGCTTCCTAATTCTTTTCTCCCAAGTTACAGCTTGGAATGACCCCTCAAAGGAGAGGTAGGTCTGTAGAGCACACGCACTTACCCAGAACCACTGCCTCCAGTGCACCGAGTTTTATGGACAGTATGCAGAGCAAGGAGTTTCTGACCCACCTTCAGAAAGTAGACCTAACCCAAATGCTCCTACCTCATGGACAGAAGAGCAGAATAGAAAACCACCCACCCTGTGGGTTGTCCTTTTGGAATTGGCTAAGCTGGGCATGAATCTTGGTTCCTTTCTCTCCTCAACTCAACACACTAAAGAGTTATTCTTCCTTGGGGAGGAGTGAGTGAGGAGGTAGAGAAAAGGACAGAAGCTACTTTTCCCAATACTGCCAAAATGGTGAGGTCCTGCTTTGTGAGGGAAATAGAATGCTAAAAGGGGCAAAGATTTATCTTCCACTATCTACAGATATTTGGTCTCTGAAGACTTCAGGCTTAACAATCAAGTTCATATTATGCAGGGGCAGGAGTCCTGCTTCCAACTTCATGAGGCAAAAATCCCAATACATCACTGTTCCATTAACCTCCTGGGACCATGAGTTCTTAAGAGTTCCTAGAAGCCATGCTACACCTCAAGCCAAAAAATTGCTGCTCACTCAAATATCCATACCAAATTAGGCACAGCTGGGTTACTCAATAGCACTCACTGATTATGTAATCAGTGCTGGGGGACAAGCTGAGCAACTCCAGTGGCCTCACCCCAGGACTGTAGCTGCTCCAAAAACCCACATGGATAGAACACGTTAAGGCTAAGGCCCACCTCCTGTCCAGGCTGCCCCAGAACACTAAATATCAATATGTGCTGTTTTTTCTCTAGATGACCTTAAAATGTCTATCTGGGTATCTCGTTCAACTATCAAATTAATAAAGCTCCCATCTGCCCCTCCCAAGTTCCTTGAATGGATTGAGGAATAACTACAAAAGTCTGATAGATGACTTCAAATATTTAGCTTTATTATTGACATAAATAAATAAATGACCTCAGCAGGCTTTCTATGCTTTCCCTCCTAGACTTTGGAGAAACCACTTGAGAGAGAGTTGAGCCTACAGAACACGTATGTCATCTTGTGGCAGGCAGAGTAAAGAATAAGAAAAGAGAAGGTTGAGCTGCTTGTTTCCAGTTCCTTATCCCAAATACAACCTTCAAATAAGTCACCCCTCCTTCCTTAGTGAGGAGTCGGGGAGGGTATGAAGAAGTGGACAGAGGCTGCTCTTTCCAATACTTTCAAAAGCATGGAGAGTCCTACTCTATCATAAAGGAAAAAGGGGAAGGAGTCGCTCCTTCTACATTTCTGATGATGAGGAGGAGGTTTCAGCAATGCTTGACAAATTCTAGAAAATATGGCGAAAATCACATTTGTAAAAGAATGGGAGAGTCCTTGGGGAGAATGTGTTGTAATATGAAGCTATGAGAAAATCTCTTCTATAGACTGTCCTGTTAAGATGGCAGAAATTTACCGGAACCCATAAAGGTACAATTTGCCAATCTCTGATGATCTCAGATATTAGCAGCCTCCAGTTAACCTGGGCTTCTTCACCAGTCTGTCTGGCCACTTGCTTTTAGGAGATCTAGGCAGGCACTGAGTATTATGGGGCAGTATCTCCTTTATTTTGGGCCCCAGAAATGATCCATTCACTGTAAAAATATGCAACTGTAGAGGGAGCCTTGGATCCTTCTTATGATGAAAGGCAAACATGGAAAGCCCAGCAGGAGCAGCTCTGATGCCGTTGCCCTGTGGAGCTACCCTCTTGGGATTTAGGGAGTTGGTTGTGAGATTGAGAATGCATTTTCAATATGTCAGCTTCAACATATCTAGAGCTGTGGCTCTCCACTGGAGGAGGCTTAGCAATTTTCCCCACTGGGGTCTATTTGGCAATGTCGGGGAATAGTTATGTCACAACTAGTGGTGATACTACTGACATGTTGAGGGCAGAGGCCAGGCATGCTGCTAATCATCCTCCAGTGCACAGCACAACCCCCAAAATAAATAAATATGTGGCCTAAAATGTCAGTAGTCCTGAGGTTGGGAAACCCTGGACAAGAATTTGAAGAGGAGAGCAGGATTGGGAACTATCAATATTATAAGATTCGATCCAATTTAGCAAACATTTACCGAACCCTTACTTTGTTCTAGTCACTGTGCTGGGAGCTAGGAATTAAAAAGATGGTTAAGGGGTGATCCCTTAAGATCATATAGCCTGGCCAGAGAAATAGGCACAAAGCCCTGTAATAATATTTGATAAGACCTCTTTTAGTTTGAGATACGTGCGCCCTACAGGTTCTGGAAGCCTCCCTGTATTTATCATCTCTTGGAAAAGGACTTTTTATGTTGTAGGTCTTTTCATATTTTTCCTAGAAATGCATTTAATTGCAAACCTTAAAAAGAGATGGTGATGCTGATAATCACCTTTCAGGGGAGAAGTTTGGTACATGTACATGCTGAGCTCTTATTTTTTCTGAGGTCAGGAGGGATATTATCCTCTTTCTTTCTGGCCAGAGGGTTTTGTACCATCTCATGAAAACAGGGAAAGAGTTTGTTCTGAAAGTTTAGGAGCCATACATGTGTTCACAGTAGAAGGGCCAGAAGGCCGGAAGTTACTGCAGTCTTACTATTGACTAGTTTGTAAAGCCAAGGGGCCCAGGGAAAATAAAGGCACGGGGGAAATGTTCTCCCCTTCAGGTAATAAATTACTAGGCCAATGTAAACAAATTATTTAGCGTCATATACAAATAAAGTAAAATATTAAACTCTTTCCCATGTTTGCTTACTCAGCTGGACAGACTGGAGGAAAAACAGAAAGAAACCTACCGGCGCATGTTAGAGCAACTGCTGCTGGCGGAGAAGTGCCACAGGCGCACGGTGTACGAGTTAGAGAACGAGAAGCACAAACACACTGACTACATGAACAAGAGCGACGACTTCACCAACCTGCTGGAGCAGGAGCGGGAGAGGTAAGAGCACACGTGTCACCGGTCACCGCAGGGTGCCTGCAGCCTCATCTCTGTCACTCCTGGCAGGGCCCAGACTGTGCTCCAGTGACACCACAGACCGGTGCCCAGTCTCCTTCCGATTTCTGAATGGTTTCTGACCCTAGAGAGTGAGACAGACTTTTACCTGGAACTATTCATCTGAATATGTTTGAGGGTGCCTTTAAGTAGGACTCCACATCCCCACTAGGATGCTGAAAGCCAAATACGATAAAGCTGGAAACCAACTCGGGAAGTTTATATTTGAACTTGATCAATGAAGCACCTACATTTGAAAAGCCTCTCTACTAATTGCCTTCTATTTGAAATAATCTACTTGCTCTCTTTGGGACTGAAATCCATTTATTCAGGAAGGCAGCTTTTAAAATTTAATTTAAAATGAAACCTATTCATTCTTTTTAAAAAATATGTATTTTTTTATTGATTTCAGAGAGGAAGGGAGAGGGAGAGAGAGATAGAAATATCAATGATGAGAGAGAATCATCCATTGGCTGCCTCCAGTATGCCCCCTACCAGGGAATCGAGCCTGCAACCCAGGCATGTGCCCTTGACTGGGAATCGAACCAGGGACCCTTCAGTCCACAGGCTGACGCTCTATCCACTGAGCAAAACCAGCTAGGTCCCTATTTATTCTTAATACCAGTATAGAAAATCTTAATATATGGTTATATAAAAATTACTTAATGACTAGAACTACCTGCTTTTCTTTCCAAGGGTTGAAAACTCTTAAGACAATGTAAAAAATCAAAACAAAACAAAAACTTAGTGTGTTGAGCCTTGCTTATCTAAATGTATTTGTTTTAAATATATTTTTATTGATTTCAGAGAGGAGGGGTGAAGGAATGAGAGATAGAAACATTAATGATGAGAGAGAACCATTGATCGGCTGCCTCCTGCACACCCTCTACCAGGGATCAAGCCCGAAACCCAGGCATGTGCCCTTGACTGCAATTGAACCTAGGACCTTTCAGTCTGCAGGCCGACGCTCTATCCACTGAGCCAAACTGTCTAGGGCAAGCCTTCCTTATCTACCCTTGTAGGTAGTTTTTTTTTTAGGGATTGCCACCTTTGAAGCCAACTGCAGATTGACAAACTCTATGTTACCCCTTTTTATTTTGGCATCTTCTTTTTAACTTATTTTCTCCTTTTCCTTCCCATAGCTGAGTAGTTAAGTCTGTGAATTTCACAAGCTTGGAAATCAATGACTTGAATCCTGATGCTTTGAGTTACTGAGGGTGTCTGCTTCTGTGTATGGGTCTTGCAAATTGAGAGCCACCAGGATTGAAATGATAACAGGGGATGGAACAGCTTTATCAATCCCAGCTTTATTATCTACTTAGTTACTAAAAAGAGATCTGGGCTCCACAGATTAGTTTACTTACCAGAAAAAAAACTGTCACAATAAGAGAGGAAATAAAACATGAAACAGAACAGGTTTGTGTTAGCTTTTTAAAAAAAGTATTGGTAATGGTTACTTATTATTAGACTTGGCCTGTTTCTTGGGGAAGCAAAAATGGAAAAGAGAACAATGGCCGTACAATATCCTCACTTGATGGTTTCTTTAAGCCTGTTTTCTGCTTCTGTACACTCAGGTGTATCAGCTTCATGTTTGAATAGATTATTTGATTTGACATTTTGGTAACCAAGCAGTGAGAATAAACTCCACCTCCTCAATCTCTGTGAACTTTCCAACCTGAAGCATAGGTATTGCAAACAAGGTCCTAATGAGAGTATACATTACATATCTCTGTAACAGATCCTGGTTACATATCCGGTGGCAGAATGTGGTCAAGTAAAAGAGTACCAACCTGTTTGATATTGATTTTTTTTAAAGTTCTGAAATCTAATAATTTTAAAGAACACCTGTGTGGATTAAATATCTTCTGATCACTTTGTAAACTGTTTCATTCAGAACCAGATATGTCTTTTCTAAAATGTCACACCCCAGGCCAGTGCCTGAAGTGGCACCAGTTCACTTAGACTTGTTGGTTTAAATGCAGTGTGTGGATGGAGAGACTGTATTTACCCAGGGGGTTTCTTTTGCTTTCCTTTTTGTTCTCCTAATTCCTGTGTTCTGTGAGAGTCACTGAAATGATAACAGGGGATGGAGAGCTTTATAGTTCAAACAGTACTCTTATATCAGTTATACAACGAGCCTATCCCAGATGTGTTTATCTACGAATTTCATGTTGCTCAACTAACTCTAGATAAACAATTACAATCCCTTTTTTGGGAGATAATTTTACTAAGACAACTCCAACAAACTAATCTTTTGAGCAAAATGCTATGTAGAAGGTTTTTAAAATCAAAGTAAAATTTTAAAAAATTATCTTAAGATGCTTTTTATACTTTGACCAGCACAACTGGGATATGTCACCAAATTTTCATGTTTTAGATAAGAATTCACTAAACAGCTTTGACTTTCACTTAAATATCAAACCACTTTAAGGTTTTGAAATAGTATTTTTTTACTCAACAGGTTATACTTTAGTGTTGTATATTTTTTACTGTCAACGTTTTTCCCCCAGGTCAGTCCCCTGACTGCCCACCAGTGTGTATGTCACTGTGGGCGCACCCTAACACACTCGTTTTGTTAAGTTAAACACCCACTAGGATGCTGGTAAATTAAGTTGGCATCTCTGAATTTCTCTGCGGTCTGAGGCGTCCACCGTGACTGGTCTGTGGCGTTCGGGGGCAATGAAGCCTGTAGGATTTTCTCAGAGGTCAGGCTTGGGATTCTTACTGCCCTTTGGAAACTGCCCTGCTAAATCTGCTTTGAGTTAAATCCTCTTTTTGAAGTAAGCGGTCATAATTAGTTCTACTTAAGGGGGCTGGCAGTTTCCTGACCCCCAGGCTGGCTTTCCCATGGGCCACATGGCAAGGAAGGTCCTCCCTACAAAGACCTCAGACCGGGCCTGGCGCCTAGTTCCCGGGGGCCCAGGTGCTCTGGCAGCCTCTGCCGGGGAGCCTCTCGGCCTTCGCGGTGACACCTGCAGGGGAAGCGAGCTGCAGCTAATAAAGAAACAGCGTTTCTCGGCACTAGCTGGAGTCCCTGCCTAGACTGTTCCAAGTCCTTTGTTTGCTTCTTTGTTTTGCACTCCCTTTCCCTTCTCTGCAAAAGTCCTGTGTGTGTGTGTGTGTGTGTGTGTGTGTGTGTGTGTGTGTGTGTGTGAGAGAGAGAGAGAGAGAGAGAGAGAGAGAGAGCCAGCCAGAGCCAAGAATTTCCCTTCAAAACATTTAACTTTGTTTCTTCTGTGACCATGAGTAAAGGAAGGAAGTGACTTGAGATAAGCCGAAGTGGTTTGCTTCTTATAAGCACCCCTCTCCTCCCCTTCTCACACTGGGCTGTGACTCCGCAGTCTTTCTCCACCCCAGTCAGCTTGGCATTTGGTGGTGGTGGGATGATGGGGGAGGGGTCAGAGCCAGGGGACTCTACCGAAGGTAGTATCTAGGCTCCATTCTCTATAATTATATTGCTCTGTAAGGGGTTCTCACATCCAGAGAAATGGTTAAAGGTAACAAAAAAGAACCCAGGCATACAAGATCAGTAGCCGGTGTTGATAAGCAATCCAGATTCAGATAGTTGACGAAACCAGGAATCCAAGGCTCTGAGCATTGCAAAGGAATTCTGAGATCAGCCATTTCAGGTCCCTCATTCTGCAGGTGGAGAAATTGAGGCCCATAAAAGCAGGTCACTGGTCTAGCACTTTTATGCAAATGAGTCTTTTTGTGCAAAATGGCTTGTTTTATGTTTTCTTTGTGTGTGTGTGTGTGTGTGTGTGTGTGTGTGTGTGTGGCTCCCCACCTCCATGCTCTTATGTCCAAACTATGACACAACATCTTTTTTTAAAAATATATTTTATTGATTTTTTACAGAGAGGAAGGGAGATAGAGAGTCAGAAACATCGATGAGAGAGAAACATCAATCAGCTGCCTCCTGCACATCTCCCACTGGAGATGTGCCCACAACCCAGGTACATGCCCTTGCCCGGAATCGAACCCGGGACCTTTCAGTCCGCAGGCCGACGCTCTATCCACTGAGCCAAACCGGTTTCGGCAACACAACATCTTTAAAAGGCAGAATGATGGATATTGTCCTAACAGCGATATTAGGACCAGTGGTGTCTCTAGACCAGTGGTTCTCAACCTTCCTAATGCCGCGACCCTTTAATACAGTTCCTCATGTTGTGGTGAACCCCAACTTAAAATTATTTTCGTTGCTACTTCATAACTGTAATGTTGCTACTGTTATGAATTGTAATGTAAATATCTGATATGCAGGATGGTCCTAGGCGACCCCTGTGAAAGGGTCGTTCGACCCCCAAAGGGGTTGAGACCCACAGGTTGAGAACCGCTGCTCTAGACAGTCGAGATAGGAGAAGCTTTGAGATAGCATCTGTTGGAGAAGCAGCCTGGGGACTTGTTTTGAAGCCAATTATGACTAGGACGCACAGTGTTCTACTTCTGTTGCATTCTGCTTGGGGTAGTTTTGATGCAAGGCTGGTGATGGTTATGGGAAGGCTACATAAAGCCCTCCTCCAAGTACCTCCTTGTTATGGCCACTGAGCTGGACTATGCAAGGGTAAAAACTATAGAAGCAGAAATTATTTGTTACTTTCCAGGAGTTGTTTAATTCATCTTGAATAAAAATTCCACAAATTAAGTGCCTAAAATGGGCAACGTATTTTTCTGGGCTTCCTTTGTTCTAAGTCAACAGACTGTAATCATAATTTATTACCATCATTTGCTCCATATTTATGTTTATCAATAGTCATATTCCCAAATTAAAAGGAGAAAATAGCATGAAAAACTGCGATGGCTTAACTGGCATCCTATATAATAAAAGGCTAATATGCAAATCGACTGAATGGCCGAACAACTGGTTGCTATGACGTGCACTGACCACCAGGAGGCAGACACTCAACGCAGGACCTGCCCCCTGGTGGTCAGTGCGCTCCCATAAG